GCTGCGGGTCGCGCTGACGTGCCGCGTGGGTGCAGGTGGCGTGCGGCGCGGCGGCGGACGTGTGCGCGAGCGCGCTGCGCGTGGGGGGAGGGCGGCGCGCGCTGCTGTGGGCGGCGGGCGCGGCGCTGCCGGCGGCGCACACCGCTTACTTGGCGCTGGCCTCGCTCAACATGTTCGTGCCGATAATGGGGCGCGCCGGCACTCCTCCGATCCCCACTGACGTAAGATAAAACCCAAAATCATAAATAAATAAATGTTATGTAGTTATGGTTAGAGTAGAACTAGAAAAAAGACTTTAATTTCATCGAGTTTATAACTTCATGGCTTGCGAAAACGAACCGCCCGCACTGGGTCTTGTTTGCTTTCAACAAAATTACTTATTTAGATAAAACACAACGCCGAACAAAAGGGGCAGCGATGTGGTCAGCGCAGACGAGCAACAAGTGACGCGCCGGTTGTCGGCAGGTGCTGATGGCGCTACTGGTGGCGCTGCTGACGCTGAGCACGCTGAGCTGGGCGCTGCCGCTGGCGGTCGCGGCGCCGGATCTTAACAAGCTGGTGCCTATTGCGCATTCCTTATGCGGGAAAGAAACAAGCGACAGAAGTAGTGTAGCGTTGGAGAGGGAAAGTGATAGGCGGAGCGGCAGAATTCAAATCAATGACTGCGCGGTATCGCTGCTTTTCCCGCGCTGGCACTGTCCAAACGTGTGTGAGGTTGCAGGCGTGGGGCGTAGGGCGCGGCGTGTGTGTGAGGTTGCAGGAGTGGGTCCTAGGGCGCGGCTTGTGTGTGACGTGTGTGAGGTTGCAGGCGTGGGGCGCGGCATGCGTGGCGGCGGCGGGCGCGGCGCTGGCGGTGAGCGGCGGCGCGCGCGCAGCTTACAGCGCCGAGCGGCCGCAGCGCGTGCTGCTGTTCCACACGCGGCGCACGGACCACGCGCGCGCACCTCCCTCCGTGGAGCACTTCTTCTGGATACCGGAGATAGACGCCAATACGCCTCATTCGCTGGTGGGATACGGTACGCGGCGACGCCGGATGCTATAGCTGAGGCCACCATTGCAGCCCTGTATGTATGTGTGCGGTTGTCGCGCCGGCAGTGGAGGGCGTGGAGAGCGCGCGGGCGAGCGGCGCGACGGACGAGGCGGAGTGCGCGCGCTGGGTGTACTGCGGCGCGCCCTACTACCTGCCGGTGCGGCGGCTGATCGCGCGCGGACACTCGCTGCCGGCACGCGAGCCCCCGCGCACGCGCCTGCAGGCCGCCGCGCGCCGCCAGCGCCTCAACGCCACTATCTCGGCGCTGCACCTCGATATACGAGGTGCCGAACTCTTTTATTTCAATCACTCTTATTAGTAGTACCGGTAATAGCAGGGGCTACGATCTCTCCGCAACCGCCCGACTGGTGCGTATTTTGGTTGAACCGGATGCATCCTATTAGCGCCATCCTTGGTCGACAAATGTACACTTTTTATGCGACTTCTCGTCGACTCCGCGGGCTACGAAAGACTGTGTACTGATGTGATAACTCTTACGATGTACATAACTAAGGTAGATATAGTTCGCGGGCGTGGTCGGGCGCGGACGGTGGTGAGGGACAGCTCGCTGTGAAAGTAAAGCTTCAGCAGTTGTGACGTGTCGAGCAGGGCCGCAGCACGTGGTGGTGGTGGTGGCGCCGGCGGCGGGCGCGCGGCTGGCCTGGACCTCTGCGCTGTCGGGGCCGCTAGAGGGCCCGCGCTGGGGACTCCGCCGCACCTACTTCCTGAGTGTGCACCACGCGCGTGCTCCCGCGCACATGCACCTCGAGCTGCACATACAGGTGGCTTCCACATTACAAAGGCTGCATTCTATAGCGGGTGCAGACCTTCAAGGACAATATAAATTGCACTTGCAGCACGAAGGTGTGGGGGAGGAGGGGGAGGAGGAGAAGGAGGTGGCGCAGCTGTCGGTGGCTGGGCACAGCCTGTTCGGCGAGGACGCGCTGTCGGAGGAACATCAGCGGCTGCTGGCGCGCCTGCCGCCATGGACCGCGCCCTTCGGCTGGGGCGTGGACCTGCACCTGTTCGCCCTCTAGCGCACAATAGTAGCGACAATTGATGCTCTGTTTATATTTTAGGTTAAGTTGCGTTCGTCACTCGGCGGTGTCCCGAGCGACGCGCGCCTCGCCTCACTTTACTACGGGTTTAGAGTTGCCGCAGCCTCTCGCCGGTCCTCGTATCCATGGATATAAAAAATCTCAAAAACAGAAATATTTCTAATGTAAACAACTGTTATTGAGCTACTAATTTATTCGTCCCTGCGGACAAAAGTGACTAGCTGAATTGTAATGTCTTTCTTAATGTGTTATTTTGTACTGGTGAGACAAAGTGCAATATCATAGCTTGTATTTACTATGCAATATTTGAAGCTAAAATGGCACATTTATAATGTTGTTGCAAGTATTTGGTTACGGATGACCTAAAATGTGGAGTATTATAAAGTTGTTGATGAAGTTGTTTAGTTTATAATTTTTATTTTATGCTTAGACTAATAGGTGTGTGGGAAATAATCAGACTATTCCAATAGTTACAAAGTGTTTTATTAAAAAATGTTGTGTTTATAAAAGGTTTTATTTAATTCACATCACAAAAATACTTAGACTAGCTAAAACAATAAGCTTATCTCAAATGTGATCATTAGCAACAATTGATTGCTCTGCATCATTGTGAAAATCAGTCATGTCACGGATGTGTTGTGTGAGAGCTTCCCGCAGGCCCTCCAAGAATGTTGACAAAGATATTGAGCATGTCGGCTTTACATGCAATGCTAGAGTAAGGAAAGGTAAACGACGTAAGGCTCGTGCAGATATGCTTAAAGCCGCAGCTTCATGTGCTATGTTATGGAGACGGAGGCTGGTACTTGACCCATCCGTTTCTATAAAGCCTCCCGCCTCAAGCATCTGAAGTGAAAACAGTTGCTCGCTAGGAGCTATGAGGCCGCGCGCCATCAGCTCTTCACAGCAGCCACGTAAAATCTCATATGTGGCTCGCTGCGACGGCGGCCCCACCAGTCGCTTGATGTCCGCCCGATCCACAAATGCTACATCTATAGCTCCTGTCAAATTTGATGTAGTCAAAATCAAGACATTGGGATGTCGTTTCAATCTATCTAATTGAGTTAAGATCGCGTTTACTGCACGAATAGAGTCGGACGGCTCCAAGCCCGCGAGGGCGGCGCGGCGTGCATGCGCCAACGACTCTACCTCATCAATTAGCACGCAGGTCAGCGCCCGGGGGTCCTCAATAATTTCACGTATACGTTCAAACAGTTTAGCGACCAGTTTCCCACTCTCTGAGAACCATTTCGAAAATAAGCCGTGCGCATTAATTTCGAGCAAGCGCGCTCTAGAAAACTTGTGAGCGAGACGCACCGCCACTTTCTGGGCGAGCGCACGACACAAACTAGTTTTACCCGTGCCCGGGGGCCCGTGCAGTAGCACTACTCTGTTCCATCCAACGATGTTATGATCGACGCCTCGGTCACTAAATTGAAAAGATGTCTCCACAAACCTCAATAAATTTTCCTTGAGCTTAGAGTCGTATATGAGGCTTTCCCACAAGCCATAAAACTCTTCAGTTGGCAGAGTCCATACATCCGCAACAGCAACTTCCTCACCGGGAGAATTTTCGCTAAGAGTGTCGGTTTCAGCTCCAAAAGAGTCCAATTTGTAAATATGAAATATTAGATCCGTTTCACTGGTAACAACATCACAGTCATGATCTGCATCACAAATTGTTATAGATTGAACATGCTCCTGAAGTTTCACGTCTTCCTCCAAGTTACTGTTCCTCAACGTTGTCCCAGGTCTCAAATTAGTGAAATTTGCCAGAAAAGTGTGCACCATCTCTTTTAAGTCGTTTTTTCTAAGACTACTGTGTCTTTGTTGAACTACCTCTACGTGTAGTGGAGAACTCATCATAATGTAAACTTAATACTAAATGTAAAAACTAAACGAATTACAAATAAAATAAACGATCAATCTTTTTGAATTTTCAAAAGTTTACTCATAATCATAGAGTACAGTAAGTATTTTATAGAAATAATCTATAATTGTACGATGCTTCCAGGCGAAAAATCTTTTATTTACTCTTTGGCAAGAACCGAAAGATTGGATCGCGCCAAACGCGCTTTATATCTATATTAAGTGAATCAAGAAAGAAACAAAACATTAACATTTTTAATAACTATTTAAAGAAGTCTTAGCACAGTGAAATGTAAATATATAAAGGGTGTTCAACAGTATTAAATTTATATCGTTTGTGTTGTTTTACAAATTAATTTGAACTCTTGTCTTTCGTTGCAGGTGTTTTAGCCCAAATTTTAATTTAGTGCAGCGAACAATCGATTTGAATTATGCAAAAAAGAAGAGAGCTTCTTCAATTAAATGGTTCTTTGTGAATATTACAGTGTTTCTTGTATTTACTTTTGATTTGTAAGTATGTTATGTACAAATAACCTAACTTAGTTCCAACCCGGTTTACTTGGGGATGCTAATGTCAAGATCATACAATATTTTGACGTCCTCATTTGAATTGGTAGAGCCCGCTGAAATACCACGGCGACACAGAAGACAGGGGTGAAGTGGAAACAATTCCGCGTTTCGTCTGATGAGTGTGTGTCCCAGAGGCCTTACTTAGTCCCCTTTCCCTTCCCACCCTTTTTCTTATAAGGAAAGGATGGGAAGTGGGAGTGGACTTTCCGGATGAGAGGATGCATTGAAAGGGAAAATATTTTCTCTCTGTGCAATTTCTCCTCCCTGGATTAAAGGTAGGCAACGCATATACAATTGCGTATGTCTATGGACATCGGTCACTTTGCTATATCAGCGATTACATGTGGCCACTCGCTCTTTTGCCACCTTATGATAACAAAAAAAAGCTATATTTTCATCTTTTTATTGCTTTTATAATTTGATGGCGGACCACATAGCCTGCACATCTTGTAAAGAATCTTCAAATTGCCATTTTTCATTCAATTGATCAAAACTTATTGCAGCGATGGTTCAAGAGAATGCCTAGAAGTTACTTTTTTGCTTATCTAACATCTCCAACTTACTAAATGCTCTCCAAGATTCTATTGGTAACGGACCTAATGTACTGGCAGTAGGCCCTGGTACTGGGTATGTTTTTATTTTGACCCTGAGAGAACTGATTGGGGTGGTAAACTTTGGACGAGTTTGTTGTAAATGCCTTTTTGTATTATTTTAGAAATTTAGTGTTTGTTTGCAATGGTTACCTAAGAAGTTAGTGTATACTGTTATCCTCAGACATACAAAGGCTTAAATGGGTGCTCTGGTATTCCTTCCAGTAGGCTTTGAGTGTTCAGATTGTGGGAAATATGTATTGTGCGGTGTTTACACCGTACAAACTAATGGCCACTCAATGAAAATGTTCTGATATATTATCCTAATATATAATATATCTTATATATAAATATATATCTTATATAAAATACTCGTGTCACAATTTTCGTTCCCATAGACCTCCGAAACGGCTTGACCGATTTTCATGAAATTTTGTGAGCATATTGAGTAGGTTTGAGAATCGGCCAACATCTATTTTTAATTAAGCGCGGACGAAGTCGCGGGCGACAGCTAGTGTTTAAATAATAATCAGTTGTGTAATGTTTATTGCACGGTGTGTACCACTCGCAGGACGTGGTCGGGTCCGTGCTCGGGCTCGCTGGCGCGGTACGCCCAGCTGGCGGCGGCGGGCGCGGCGTGCGCGGGCGCGCTGCGGCACGCGCTGCGTCTGCTCCCGCGCCCCGCCACCGCAGCCCCGCCCGCGCGCCTCTCGCGCCGCCAGCTGCGTCTGCTCGGCCTCTCTCCTGCCGACCTGGGTACTAGCTTTTACATCACACATACTATTGACCGGCTGGCAGATCTCCGCTGTCACATTTCATTGCTAATTATAAAAATATATATGTACATATCTTTTTGTAAATCATTAATCTCTTAGGACATTTATCTATGCAACTGAGCTATTCTACTTAACCAATATACATTGTACTTGATCTTGTGCAGACTCTTCACTGGTGCTGTCGGAGGGCGAGAGCAGCTCCGCCCTCGCCCCGGCCCCCGTCCCCGCCCCCGCCGCTTCCGCCCTCGCTCCCTGTGAGCTGTCGCTGTCGCTGTCACCGCGGCGGTGGCGCGCTCCCCGCTCGCCGCCGCCCTCGCCGCCGCCCGCCTCGCCGCCCCGCTCGCCGCCCCGCTCGCCGCCTCACTCGCCGCGCGACGCGCCCCGCGACCGCTTCATCGCCGATCACCGCTCGCTCGCAGACTATCTTAAGTTTGTTTCCAATTTTCAGTAGCGAGAAGAACTACTAATATGAACTCATATCTTATATTCCGCTCCAAAAAACAAAAACTATTAGAAAAACCCCAATATGGATACCCGAATAATGGAAGCTTTAATGACTCATTTCCGATTGAACATTTAATGCGCTACCCGCTCTCCCGCGCCCTACTACTATGAAGTCAAAAGACTCGGTAACTCTACCGGCGTCGCGATGTCCAGTGATCGTGTGTTACTTTGCTGCGAACGTTATGTGGAGCGGTTCTCGCAGGCAGTACGAGGGGCGGCAGGAGGGCGCGGAGGGTGCCGTCAGTGCGGCGAGCGCCTGCGC